GGAAACCCAACACATTTCATGATCAAAAACATTTGACCAACTAAGGATGGTCAAAAACTGCCTCAACCAGATAAAGAGGATTTATAAAACACAGTACCCACAGCTCACATCACGCTTTATAGTGAAAGACTGAAAGCTTTCTTCTTAAGATTAGGAACAAGATAAGACTGTATGCTCTGCACTTGCCACCTCCATTCAACATTGTACTTGAGGTTGTAGCCAGGATGATTAAGTAAAAGGAAAGAAGTAAATCCTTCTCTATTTACAGATGACATAGTTTTATATGTAGAAAGTCTACAGAATCTACAAAAATATTTAGTGTTAATGTTGCAGAAGATCAATATTAAAAAATCAATATACTTTTGTACGCTGGCAATGGACAATCTGAGAACAAAATTAAGAAAAGAATTCCAACTCCCAGAAGCCTCTATGGCTTGGGCGGTGCAGGTGCTTTTCTTCTGGACTTTCAGAAGCAGGATTCCTCCTCAGCAGCTCCGGAGCTGTTCTGCTGCTTCCTCTGCCCTTCTCTTAGCCGTGTGAGCTGCCATGGAGAAATGGTCATTGGAGAGAAAAACATGTATTATAAGGAATCGGGTCCCATGATTATGGAGATTGAGGAGCCCAAAATTTGCATGCAACATGTACCAGCGGGTTCAAGACCCAGGAGTGCTGATGGTACAATTCCAGAAGGCCGGCAGCCTGATGGTGCAGATAAAGTCAGAAGACATGCCACAGGCCAGTGATGGTGAGGCAGACATCGGACTTGTCATGAGAGAGAGAGAAATAATTACCGTGAAAACCATAGCACGTCCAACAGACCTTTCTGCAGAGCCAGGTGCCAGGGTATCTTGAGTCCTTCATCATGAATCTCAGACTCAGCAAAGGGGCAAATGCCTGGAGATTCCAGAGTGGAGAAATCTGCTCAGTGAGCAGGAATCAGAGCAGATGACGCAAGGAGGGAAAAACTCCATGGGGCTGGAAAAAAACTGACCAGTGACTCAATGTATGTGAGAGGCAATTGCCAATCCAGAAACATCGTGGTTGCGTTAGACAACCTGACATCAGATTGGTAAAATTTTAAAAGAATAAGAAATCTCTGGACCTGGCTGGATGCGAGGAAGCAGCCATCATAAGAAACTGCTGTTGGCAACGTCACTGATGCATCAATTTGGAATTGCTGTAACTACCAAGCTTTTACATATGCATGTCCTTCCACCAGCAGTCCTGTTTCCTGGTGTCTATCTCCAGCAGGGGTTCGGTATATATGGAGTTGAATTGTCTTACCCAAATTCCCATGTTGACTTTTTAAGCCTTAGAACTTCAAAACATGCCTATATTTGGATTATTGGTCTTCAAGGAAGTAATTAAGGTTAAGTGAGTTCCTTGGTGTGGGTCTTAACCCATCGTGACCTATATCCTTAGAAGAGGAAGGGAGGACCCTTGGAAGCACAGCGGGAAGTCCATGTGAACACAGAGATAGGAGACGAGCATCTAGAAGCCAAGAGAAACCCCTCAGGAGGAACCAACCTTGCTGACACCCTCATTTCAAATGTCTAGCCTCCAGAATTGTGAGAAAATAAGTGTCTACAGTGTACACCACCCAAAGTGGTAATCTGTTATGTCAGCCCAACCAAAGTAACACAGCGCCTTAGGGCACGCAAAGTGCTCCCAATGGCACTGCTGAAACAGCGCCTGCACTGAGTTACATAACATCCAATAGCACTGAAAGGCTGCATCGCTGTTGCGAAAGCCCTCTCTTCTGGAATATTCTGAATACAAGTGAAGCCACAGCTCCTGACATGGCAGGTCCCAGTAACTGCAGAAAAACATGTTGAATAGCTTAATCCCATCCATCCTCTTTCTGTGTATAAGCTACACTATCAAGTGTGATGCTGGGTAAGACTGGAAGAAAGTCTAAAGGATAATCCAGCTGACTGCTACACAATATACATGGGACACTTTGTTAAAACAATAAAGACAACAAAATGCAGAGATGCTCATGGTCTACTGTGAAGTGCAAAGGACCTAACTATTTTTCTAATATTCCTAGAAATATGTGCGGAGTGTCTTTCTACCTTCCCATGTAGGTCCAGATTCCTTTGGGACATTGGAACAATCTAGTGGAAAAGTCCTGGGAGACTCCCGAGGGGGTCCTCAGATTTGCGTCTGGATTCTGAGCTGGCCCTGTGCATCATGGCTGGGTGTGGAGACCCCTCTGAGCCAGCTCTCACCTCAGACCAGCCCTTGTCATTGTTGGTTGCCTTTTGCACCTGCCCCATGTCTCAGGACATGCAGTAGTTGTTCCCATCCACCAGCTCCTCCACGATCTCTGGGGTGGAAACTCTGCAAAGGCAGTGCCCTGTCGCTGGGCCAGGAGGCACTCATGACTGCCTGGGCCTTGCCACCAGGAGTTCTGTCCACCACAAGTTCTGCTCCCAAGATCAAGGGCAGAGGGGCATCTGCATAGACCTCTAGCCAGGGAAGGAATGAGATGACACTTTGAGGGCTCGGGATTAATGAATGGGTAGTGGAGGAACGTGCTCCCCAGTGCTCACTTTCCCCTTCCCTAGGCGTGACCTGGGGTATGAATATGACAGACCTACCAGACTTCTAACACCTAAACAACTTGGTCCTGCAAAACATGGGCCCCCAAAACCCAAGCTTTTCCTCACCACCCTCACACACACACACACACACACACACACACAGAAAGAGGAGTAACAGGTGTGGGGCCGCCCAAGTGGGATCACACTCGTGGCCTGGCTCAGACTGACCTGCTCTGAACTTCCCTGTGTCACCTGACATTGCCTCACACCACATGGCCTGTGGCAATGCAGGTGAGGAATGAGCCAACGTAGGCAGCAACAGAACATCTCTCACTCTGCTCTTTCCCCAGTGCAGAGCCTCAGAAAGTTGGGAAACTGCAAGAAAGCATCCTACTCTCTTGAACGTCTATGGTCAAGTGGGTTGTACAGGGGGCCATCTCTAGAATGTGGGGACCTGGTTACCAAAGCCCTAACGTCTGCCACCAAAGACGTAAGGTCACTTCTAAGTTCTATTACCTGGGCCCTTTCTTGCAATCAGACCTGCCCAATGCTCCCTCTGAGCTTTGAACTGCGCACCCTGCTTGCCCATTTCATCTCCATAACTGTGCATCACTGTCCAACATAGTCTTCTTCACTGTTCCCTCCAAAGGTACCAGGTTCTCATCTTTGAACTCAGACCTCTTTTTTTTTTTTTAACCAGTTCTGTCTATTTTCTCAAAATGGCTTTGTGCTTCTCAGTGCCTCCCCAGACCCTCCACCTGCACAGTGGGGATACTGCTAGAAACCACTTGCTCAGGACAATATCAGATGTAGGAAAGATAATATCTATAACACCTGTAGGTGGATGTCACATAAATTTGATGCATAAACATAGAGGTGGAGGAATTAAAAGAATGAGTAGGTCCTGGTATGGAATACCACTCAAAATAGACAAAGGCTCCTGTCCTGTGATTTGAGAAAGTCACTGCCCATATTGGCCTCATTTTTAGGTCAGCACTCTTCAGGGGGTGAAATGTGAGAAAATCAACCTTGTCATCCACTGGCTTACAGCTTTCTAACTATCTGTTCGAGTTAAAATCAGACCCTGTGCCTCATGTCGGTCCATGCGGTAGGCACCTCCACATGGCTCCTAGAGATTGCAGGATCCTGGTATAAACATCCTTTTGTATCCACTAAGTGGTCAGTTACTGGCTTCTCAACAACAGAGTACAGCCAGGTGATGGGATGTCATATCCAAGCTTAATCACAAAAAGTCTGTCACTTCTGTCTTACTTGCATTCTTCAGTTTCCTCCTCTCTCTCTCTCTCTCTCTCTCTCTCTCTCATTATATCTCTGGACCTGGGAGAGCAAGTGCCAATGATTTGAGTTCCCCTTTGCCGAGGCCCCATAGGAGAGAATTGATAGAGTTCCCAGGCCAACAGGCAGGAACTCAGGCTCTCAGTCCAAACCGAATCCTGGCCATAACCATGCCAGTTCACTTGGGGCCAATCTGCCCTTGGTCAGTCCCAGCCGAAACACTGAGACCTAGTAGCAGAAGCACCCATCCAACCATGCTCAGATGCCTGGTCCACAGTAACTGTGAGATATTAGTATGTGCTTTACAGATACAAGGTTTCAGAGCAATGTCGTCTGTGCCTCAGTTTCTCCATGAGACTGTTGGCAATAACAATACACATAACCATGTCTAAGGTTGTCACCAGTTCGAGTCCCTGTCAGGGCACATGCCCAGGTTGTGGTTCAGTTCCCAGTCAGAACACATGCAGGAGGCAACTGATCTCTCTCTTTCTCTCCCTCTCTCTCCCTCTCTCTCATTCTCTCTCTCTCCCCCTTGCTCTCGCTCTCTCTCTCCCTTGCTTTCTCTCTCTCTCCTACCCTCTCTTCCTCTCTCTCTAAAAAAAATCAATAAAAACATATAAAACATAAATAAATGAAATAAAATTACTAAGATGCTAAGAAAGAAAAGAATTCCATTTACAATAGCATCAAATGCAATAAAATACTCAGGAATAAAGTTAATGAAAAAGCTTTATAAGTAATATATGAAGTTTGATATACAGCAAAATCTTCATTACATTTCAAAAAGTGCCTCAAAAAAAGACTGAAGTCAAATACATAATAAATAAATGTGTGACTAAATAAATATTAAATTCTAATTACCAATATTAATAAATAATGTTTACTATTAATGTAAATCATATTTTCTCCTAGAACTGACAGTTTTGTCCACAATCGCCACAAGATTGGAAGTAAAAAAAATCTTATTACATTTCAGGGAAAATATGGGAGGCTGAGGACACATATTTGAACCATCTGCTTCCCAGCCCCATCCAAAATGACCTAGAAAACGTTAAAATATGTAAAACCCTAAATCAGTACTGGAAGCTAGGGAAGGAAACCATACAACTGCCAGAAACTTCAAAGAATTTCTTCTAAATCCTGTGCTTTTGAGTCCAGGTTTACAAAGAACATCCAGGTCCCATTTGCCACTCACCAAAGGAACGGCTTGACCTGGAGGCTGACTGCAAACCCCCACTAGTGATTCTTTTGGCTCCTGAAAATTGTGTGGGTCTGAGGGTAGCAGAGGTGACAAATGCATCGAGCAGAAAGGCCATGCGTGGTGGCAATAGTTGTGTTATTGGATGGTTTCCCCGAGTTTGGGGGACCTTCACTGCCTCCGTGGGGCTGGGCATCAAGGCGAGGCCTAAGTGGCGCCCCCAGCAGGCTGTCACCGGCAGCAGCATTCTTTGGTGGGGCAGTGGGCATCTGGACCGTGGCTTGGAAGTCAGGCCAGCTATGTCACATACCAGCAGTGAACTTGGGGGTGCCTATGGAGGCCCACCACAAAATCTGTCCAATAGCATAGCCCTTTCACCAAATACAAAGCAAGAACTTTACAAGGTGAAGTTTAGATAACTGTTTGTTTTTTTTAAGTTTGACCTCACCCTCACACAATATATAAGAATTGAGATGGATCATAGACATAAATTTGAAAAGTAAACCAATATAAAGCTTCTAGAGAACAATATAATGTCTTCATGATCTCTATTTAGGCAAATTTCTTAAACAGGACACCAAAAGCACTAAGCAGAAAATGAAAGACTGAAAAAAAATGAACTTCATCAAAATGAAGAATTTATGTTTATCAATAGACAATATTAAGAGAGTGATTAGGCACGCCACAGATTGAGAAAAGGTGTTTGTAATAGATATAACTGACAAAGGACCATATATAGAATTTTCACAGATCAACAGGAATAAAACTAAAACAAAAAAAAAAAAATGGGTAAAATACTTAACAGTCACCTTAGCACAATAGATAAATGACCAATAAGTGTGAACATTATTAGTTACAGGGAAAGGCAAACAGCTAACAATACCAAGTGTTCGTAAAGATATAGAGCAACAGGAAAGCTCAAAAATTATTGGTTAGAGTGTAAATTGATTTTAAAAAATCACTTTAGGTTTCCTGCGAAAATTGGACAAAGCACTTTGTGTGGAAATACAATCACAGAATTGCAAACACTGTCAAAGGCAACAGACAGCAGTCTGACGACCATAGAAAACAGTATTAATGAATAAGAATATAAATAAGAAATTCACACTGACGTCACCAGGATGAAGTCATAAAATAATGAGAGAAAATAAGGACTATATGAAGGAGAGATTCAGGAAATCAAATCAACATGTCCTAAGAATCTTAGACAGAGAAGATTAACTGGCCAGGTAGATCCCATATTCAAAGGAATAATTGAGAGAAATGGCTGAGTTTATAGAATTAAAGTTTACCACGCAGTAATGAAGAGGCATGGGCACCTAGACGTATCTTGTTGAATGATTCAAGATTTTAGAAGAAAAATACCGTTACAAGCATCGCCAAGAAGCCTCAGTTTATTTCTAGAGCAATGCTTCTCAGCTCCAGCTGTGCATTAAAATTACTGGGTGAGTCTTTTAAAAATACTGGTGTCTGGGCTCCACCTTTAGACATTCCAATTTAATCACTCTCGGGTGGAGCCTGGACATGACATTTTAAAAATCTTCCCAGTAGTTTGAATGCTTTGTCTTGGTTGAGAACCACCCCCAAGGGAAGATAGACCCATAGAGAACCAAATAGCCCTAAATGAAGACTGACTTCCAAGCTGGGAAGGAAAAAAACTAAGGTACTTAGTCAAAAGGTCATTTCTAGGAAAGGCCAGTATTCTCCAGAAAGTACAGCTCTCACAGTTGAAGGATAGGATCTAGCCAACCTAGATATGCATCAAGATAAAGAACTCAAGAATGAGGACTAATAAAAAGAGGTGGTAAACACAATGTGAACTATATAGTTAAACCTTGAGTAATGTCTTTAAAACTGTCATTAGCATGTATGATTACAGGACAAAACAAATTTCAAAAATAAGTCTCCAAAGAAAAGTTAATAATATAAAATGACAATACTAATGTAGATCTAAATTCTAGATTACATCAATCAAAATTGTGAAGTGGAGAGACAGTAAAAGCCTGAAAATTTTCTCATTTTACACAGATGATAGTTGATAGGTACAGTTATATTCTTAACCTTGATAAGCAGAGATAAAAACTGTTTTTAATAACAAAAAGATAAGCACTGATAGAAAAAAGAGTAATTATACCTTCCAGAGAAATAAAGACACCCTTTCAGAGAAATAAGGGTTAAGAAAAAAATAGTTCGTGAAAATATAACAGAATATAAAAACTATTATGCAATATTTTGATCTTATTTTATTGTATGTATATGTGATATGTATTTAAAAATACAAAAAGAAGCACCCCAAAATTTAAAGTGGTTGTCTCTAACAGGTTAAAGTATAGGGTTTGGGGTTTGTTTTTTTATTAATATGTTTCAACTTTTTCTAAATATTTTACAATTAGAACACCATTTTATTGTAACTCAAAAAAATCAATAAACATTAGAATTTTAAATTAATATTCATTACTGTTTTATCTTTTATGCACTTTCATAGTGCTTATTTGCTACAAAGGATAAAAGTTAAGTTCCTTAATGTGCTAATTTTAGCAATTATTGAATTTTTAAAAATCCTATTATACATTTTTAAAGACTAAACACCTATAAATACTATAAAGGTATTTCTATTAACATTTCTTACTAAGTCACTTTCTGGAAGTAACATGTTTGTGTAAAATCTTGCCAAAAATAAGAATATTAAAATGTGTTCTGCATTAAAAAGGAATCCACATCATAAATATATTAGAAGTTAACAAGAGTTGGGAGTAAAAAACATGAAACCAAAAGAACTCAGGAAAATGTGTTTGCAACTATAAATTCTGTAATTAATTTGCTTTACAAGTTTTTTGGAGATGCTAGGTCATCATTTGACATCTTGGATTTGCTTTGTATTCAGTCAAAACACACAAAAACATATATTACTTGTGGTCGGATTGTGATCTAAATATATTTTCCATCCAACTATCCAGTTGTAATATAAAGAAAAGCACACAAAATCATGTTGTTTTTTAATTTCACTGAAAACATTTCTTGCTTCTGTCCCAGTACAGAATTCAGGGTTTTATTTAATCTGTTTCTTCAGGCTTCTATAGCTTGAGAGCGCTAAGGAAGTCACATTAATGATAAGAACCCAAATTCCAGAGGCCCTACCCTACTTTCCATGGGTATCTTCTGCAGGAAGTTTGCCTGTACTTCCCCAGTACTTCTGCATATCCCTTGAGGTATATTGCATGTGCTCCTGGTTGCATTTGCTGCTGTGTCATCACTCACTGGGCAAACACAGCATGACACCATGTCCATGGGTCCCACTGTCTTCTGCCATAGTGAAGGCAACATAGCCCTTTCTATCAAAGGCTTAAAGCTTCAGAGTGCTGTGTTTGTAAGCAGCAAGAATGTTTCATTCTTCTCTTGCCATAGAGCAGTCAGCCAGGTCTGCTCCTGCCTCCACGTCATAAGCTGCCCTTGGTTTTTATTTCCGATAACCCAGCTCTCTTTCTAGGGGGCTCCCGGATAATTCCAATAGGGTCTGGGTTTGGAATTCAATCAAAGTGACAACCACCCTGCTGAACTTAGAACTGTTCCTCCCTTTCAAAGTCTAAAGTTTCTTACTGCCTAGTTCCTTCCTTCTCTTAAGGTGAGGTCTCTCCAGGATGCTTCTCAGCCCACATCCAAGTGGGTTGCTGGTGGGTTCTTCTCACAAGTTGGCCAGATGTGCCTGCTAGACTCAAGCTGGGACGCCCGTTGCACTCATACACCAAAGGGAACACATACTCCGTGTAAAGAAATGTTTCATAACCTTGGTGTTGGCTTATATTTAGTTTAATGAATTTGTTGTAAATAAAGAGAAATTTGGCCTTTTAAAAATAGTATATTATTAAACTATTGCTTCAGCCATTATCAGTCTGAAGAGAGTAAGTGGGATCAACTGAGGTAACTGATATCACCACAGATCTCCTTCATATTAGAGTAATTCAGGAGAAGTTCCCATTGAGAATCAAGGAGAAAAAGTTATTATTGAGGAACATGTATGAAAACTATTTTGGAAAGATGCTCAGTAGAAAAAAAATTCTTAAAATAAAAATCACATTATTTGAGGGAGAAGTTAGTTTCTTCTAAAAAGTTTTCTTCAGAAGGAGGGTTCTTGAGGAAATAAAAATATTGGCAGTCAAGGAACTTCAGGGATAAACAAGCCACAAGTGTCCAAGAACGTGTGTGGCGGGGGTGGAAGCAGGACAGCCTGGGCACGTCTGTACGGCGGTGAGTGAGGATGTGACACTAATACCTTAATATGGAAAGATCAGGGGGATTTTTATTAATTAGAAGACAACCGATAAAGAATGTGTTTAAGAGAGAATAGAACCAAATTGTTTTTTTAAATCCACATGCTTCACAGTATTTTGTTTCGTTAAGATGTTTAAGGGCCAAAAGTTTCCCTCACCCTTTCCAGGATTTTCATTTGTTTGTTTCTTTGTTTGGCAATGCACCTATTGTTATTGATAATAAAGACGACCTAACTATCCAGATCACTAAAGTGCATTTTAGCCCCAGTGAGACTTGACCCCCACTCTGCTAGTCTCGCAGGTCTAGACCGGGTCTCAGTCTTCTCCGAAATGGAAGCCAGCAGATGCTGGAGTCCAGAAAATAAACCACAAGCAAGGTCCAAGAATGGTGAGAAGAGTATTTTGTTATAACCATAATGAGATATCACCTTACACCTACTAGAAGGGCTATTATCACAAAAACAAGAGGTAACAAATGTTGGCAAGGATGTGAGTAAAGGGAATCCTGCTGATAAGAATGTAAATTGGTGCAGCCTCTGTGGAAAACAGTATGAAGTTTCCTCAAAGAATTAAGAATAAAACTTCCATATGAATCCCAATCCCACTCCTGGGTATATATCCAAAGGACACAAATAATTATCTCAAAGAGATATCTGCAGCATTATGTACAATAGCCAACACATAGAAACAACCTAAGTCTCCATCAATGGATAAAAGGATAAAGAAAAAATATGTATGAAATGAATATTATTCAGCCATTAAAAAAAAAAAAAAAAAGGATATCCTGCCAGTTGCAACAACATGAACAGACCTTGAGGGCATCATGCTCTGTGAAATAAGTCAGACAGAGAGAATGTATGATCTCACATATATGGAATTTAAAAAAGTCAAACTCATAGAAATGGAGTAGAACAGTGGTTGGGAGAAATGAGGAGATATTGATCAAAGGGTATAAACTTTCAATTATAGAATAAGGTCTGAGGATCTAATGTATATCACGCTGACTACAGTCAACAGTATTGTATTATATACTTGAAATTTGCTAAGAGGGTAGATCCTAAATATTCTCAAAACAAAACAAAAAAATGCTATGTACGCTCAAAACAAAACAAAAAAATGCTAAGTATGTGAGGTGATGGATGTGTTAACTA